CACTTTGTATTGATGGTTAAGCTGAGTTCTTATAGGATCCAAATAAAAAGCACAGCGTTTATCATCATCAAAAAGGGGGAATTTGTTGGCCCAAGAATAGGTGAAGTTTTGAAGATTGACAAAAGAACTCAGACATGGACCAGGTCCATCTTGTGAAGCACAGTCATGATCAACATGTACATGTAAGATGCACATGAAGGAGATAAATCTAACTGATCAAGAAGTAATATCTCCTGATCTGATCGAAAAAGTTGCATATTGGATAAGGAGAGAAAGACTCCTTACACAAAGAGAACACAGTTTAGGAAGAAGATAGTGTTAGAGTTTGAGATCACCATGAACTCTTCTACGATAGAAGAGTAGCAATTTAATCCCAATCAAACTCTGATTACTAACCTATTAAATGTCAGTGTTGTTCTCTTTTACAGGTAACACACATAAGCAGAAGTTAAACTTAAATTGATAGCAAAATAGCAAGGCAATTTTGCAAGCAATTTATGTGTGATTTGAGTGTGCAATCCTGAAGCTACTTGAACGAGATAGAAGAACCAGTTTCAAGTGTCTATCTTTTATTCTAGTTCAATTGTAGTAGGTGATTTTACATTGTACCTTTCAGCTTTCATAGAAGCAATTGTATTAGGTACCTAGAGTGTTCAAGTTAGAGTTAACTTGAAGTTGTCGCAATAGTTGAGGCTGTGTGCTACAACGGGATTAGAGTTAATCCTTAGGTTTACAAAGAGTTTTGTAAATGCTGTTTTGGCTCAGTGATTTTAGTGGAAGTTTGGGAAAATCCTACTAAGTAGTAGGTCGTGGTTTTTTCACCTTTCGAGGCAGGTGTTTTCCACGTAAAAATCTTTGTGTTCTTTATTTTCTATATTTATTATTCCGCAAACAGTAGTAGTTGGAACAACTAGAAGAATCAGGTCTTTCTATAATTCAGTTAAGCGAAAATTGGGTACCACACATATCACCCCCTCTTATGTGGTATTGACGCTTAAAACATCATTTGTTGATTTTGAAGTTTGAGTCTTTGTATCTCTATTCTCTCATAGATGGTGAGATGACATGCTACCAGATCAGTTGAGCAGACACTCGCGCCTCCTACTAGAGTTGTGAGAGGTTGGGGCCGAGGTAGAGCCGAGGAGGGGAACATGCCGCAGCTAGAGCACCTGACAGAGCAACAGTTGAGGAGCCACTAGTAGCTCCGGTTGAGGGACAGGTACCGGAGGTGCCTGTTGTTAACCTCGGACTTCAGGAGACTTTGGCGCAATTCCTGAGCATATTTAGTACATTGGCTCAGGCGTGATTGATTTTTGTTGCACCAGCCACTTTGCAGATTAGGGGAGGAGCTCAGACTCCTATTACCCGTACTCTAGAGCAACGGGCTCACATTGGTCAGGTTCTGAGTGTGATACTGGTATAACCTATTATTCTGATTCAGCCTGAGGTCAGGCTAGGGGCATCAGAGAAGGAGCAGAAGAGGCTTGAGAGGTTCAAGAGGTATAGTGTACCTACTTTAAGTGGCACATCTACCAAGGATGCACAAAGTTTTCTAGAGAAATGTCACTGTATTCTCTGTACCATGGGTATTGTGGAGGTGAGAGGAGTTGCGTTTACTATATATCAGTTGTCGGGAGCGACGTATCAGTGGTGGCAGGTTTATGAGAAGGGTAGGTCAGCTGATGCAGCACCACTCACTTGGACTTAGTTTCAGAAATGTTTTTGAGAGTGTTTGTTCCCCAGACCCTCCGGGATGCGTGGCATATAGAGTTAGAGTAGCTACATCAGGGCACCATGATGTTGTCAGAGTATTCTATCAGGTTCGGTGAGTTATCCCATTATGCATCTACTTTGGTTCCTATAGTCAGAGAGCGAGTCCGCAGATTTATATAGAGGCTAAGTTATGGTCTTAGATTCAGCATGGCTCAGGAGTTAGAGACTGATACCCTATTTCAGCAGGCTGTGGAGATTGCTAGGAGGTTAGAGTGTATCCGTGGTGAGGAGAGGGAGGAAAATGAGACTAAGAGGTCTCGAGGTTCTGGAGGATTCAATGGATTCTACTATTCAGCTATGACCCATCACGACAAAGGCTCGGGCATTCGGCCAGTCCAGTCCGCACTTCAAACTACTTGTGGTGTTCCAGTTAGTTAGGGACCTCATGGTACTCATATAGGACAGTTATCTTTTAGTGCGCCACCTGCACGAGGTTCCTACAACGATTATTCTAGTTATCCGGCACAGACTCAGTACGAGCAGCCATGCCTGCAGAAAGGTTGTTACGAGTGTTGCAATACTAGGCACATCATGAGAGATTATCTCAAACTCGGGAGAGGTGGATTTTATCAAAGTATTCAAGCTATGGGCTCCATTCTTATTTGCTACTCCACCTGCACAGCCAGCTAGGGGCGGAGGACATGCGGGTAGAGGGCGCTCTATAGATTTTGTGAATGAGGAAATTGGCCCTATAGTTCCTAAAAATAATTGATAAGTAAAAATGTAAAATCTAAAAATAACTAATATTGAGTTGCATAATATTTTACGACAAATAACTTAATATATAAAACATAATATAGATAGCTCTCATTTGTTGGAATGGATTCAAAAGAATGCAAAATAATTAATGACAACTAAATGTCAGGGGCGACCCGATGAGTTTCGTGGCCTAAAGCGAAATTTTATGAGGGGCCTTAACTTTATTTTAAAAAAATTATTTATTTATTTGAAGTCTATTTTACTAGAGTTTATTAGATACAAAGCTATTAATAATTTTCTTATAATCAATAACTCCTAATAAGTCTTTCCTAATTGACAATATAGCTAATCCATTTAACCTTTCTTGAGACATTGTTGATCTTAGGTAAGATTTTATCAATTTTAATTTAAAAATTCTTTCCATAGAAACGATAGTAACAACAGTTATTAACATTATTCCATAAGTAATATATGCTTTGAAAAAGAATCAAAACTTTTTATTTGACCGAGTGTATCAATTAAACTTATATCTTTTAATTGTACTATTTTTCTTAATATTTTTAATTCCGAAAATAAATCTAAACCATCAATATCAAATTGATTATGCTTTAAGGAACATTCAAGATTAAGGCAGTATTTTTTCAAATTTCCATCATCTAGTGATCTTATTTTTACCGCTAAATAGAAAACCAAAAATATTTTCATATACTTCGAATGGTTCAAATCTATTTTGAAGTGAAAAAATAGCCTTGTCTACTATGTATAAAATAATCAATTCCAAAGGACTCTTCGAAAGATTTTGAGATTTTATTATCAACATTCTCATCAAATTGTTACTTCCTATATATTATACGTTTCTTACGAAATTCAGGTTCGATATTCATTTCAAGTGAAATTTTCGTGGCAGAAATCATAGCAGTTGCAAATCCTTCTTTTCTATATTTGTTAAAGAAATAAATTTAATTTTTTCACTTCACAAAATCTTTTTTTAAACTTATACATAGCTTATTAGGTGTAACAAAAAATGGGACACCCACAAATTTGGGGCCTAAAACAGCTTGTTTTATGGAAGAAACTTATACATAACCTATTAAGTATAACAAAAAATGATGCTCCACAAATATGAGGCCTAAATTAGTTGTTTTACTTACTTTATGGAATGACCGCTCCTACTCAATGTCAGAAGGTTATGTCAATTGATAGGGTGTTTGTATTCTATCATGTATTTCTGTTGTAAAGAGCTTATGGGTGAAAATAAGTAGCTCAAGTAAGAATATCTTTTAATAGTAGAGATGGTAGCTATAACTCGTTTACGATATAAAATTATATGAAGTTAGTACTTTATAATAAGAAATCAGATTAACTTATTCAAACTAAAAGGATGGTTAATCAATTTTGCTAAGTGGATAGAAAATAATACTTAGTTTTAAAATCTTAAATAATAGACACTTTTTAAGAAGGAATTATAATAAATTTTACAGATTCAAACTAAAGTAATGCTAGGACACTTCAATAAACGGAAGGAAAAATGTGCTTGATTCAATGGTCGTAAAGAATAAATTTGGAAGATAGTAAATCTAAACAACAAACATGTGTAATTATTTCAAATATCCAAGTATAATATATGTAAGTTTTTCTTTGAAGCATACTGTAAAAGTTTGTCATTAAAACTTCTAAATACTATACATAAGAACTTAAACCATTGCAGATTAACGCAGATTCAATGGAAGTTATTCACTATTTTACTGATAATAATATTACTTACTCTAATGTTTTGAAAGAATATGGTAGGTCATTGATGATGTGATTTGGGGGAGTTAAGATCAGCCACTCCTATTGGGAACAAAACAGGGTCGCCGATCTACTAGCTAAGAAGGAGCAACAAAGCAACTTTTTGGGGATGCAGAAGTTCCTCCTATGTTTACTTACGAAGCGCTAAGATTAGATCTACTAGGAGCTACTTTTGCTAGGAATATTTTCATAAATATTTCTAATGACCATAGCTACAAGTGACCTAGCTACAATGTAACGACCCTATTTTTTATTTAGTTAATACGTACATATTAAGGGTCGTTTGGTATGAGGTATAAGTAGATATAGTGCTGATATAAAATTTTATACCACTTTAATACTTTGTTTAGTTAGCAAACCTGGTATAAGTTATCCCAACATTAAAATTAGTACCAGAATAACTTATACCTTATAGGGGGTGAGGTAATTAGTGTCTGGATAACTTATACCTTCTTCTTAGAAATTATGCAATTGTTATTTTTAATATAACATACCAAACAGTGGATAAAAAATAATCCCAGGATAACTAATCCCAGCATAACTTATTCCAGCATAAGTCATATTCAAACCAAACGACCTCTTATCTTTCTTATCAAAAAAAAAAATACTGTAAAAGATTTTGTATCAATAGAAAGAAATATTTATTCATTATTTCCAATACTGGCCTCCCTTTTGGATACAAAAAAAAAAAAAAAAACTTGAAATATTTGCATTGGATGAGGCTCCCTGCTTTTTTAACATGTTCAACATCCCCATTGTCACCAATTGTTGTTAGCTCCGCCTCTGCTCCACACTTCACTCTCATCTCTCACCTTTCTTCTCTCAGCCAATCTTCACGCTTAAATTCCTCAAACCCTCCACTTCGTTATTCTCGCCCCCCCCCCCCACCAAGGCACCAACCCCTCCCCATCTTCAAATAATTCCTAAACCTCTCTTTCTTCCTTCACACACACACACACACAATGGCTTCTACAGCTTTGTCACAATCTCTCTTCTCCACTCTCAGTTCTCATAGAAACCTTGAGAATGGCTCACTTCCTTTGAAAAGATCAATGCTCAAACAATCACTTGTTGTCTCAAGATCACATTCCTTGAAAACCCATTTCAAGAATAGCTTCATCACCAACTGTGCCTCTCCTGAAAATGATGCAACTTCCAAATCTGAAACCCCAATTGAATTGAGTATGCATTTGCCCGCCCCATTCTTTCTTATCTGTTTTGATTGAGTATGAAAAAGATTGGTTTAGTATTGTTCTTTGTGAGTGTTTAAATTTAGTTTTCAGGAACCTTGATGCTGGAATTGGTGTGAAAGAATTGGTTTCGTGTCTCGAGATTTTTGTTTTGTTTTTAGGAAGAAAGTAAACAAAACGTGTTTGGACAAGAAAATAGAAAGAAAAAACAAAAACTGTTTGAGAACGAAATATATTGCTTCTAATGTTAAAGTTTGGATCTTGGTTTATTTGTAGGGTACCCAGCATTTCCTACTGTGATGGATATCAATCAGATTCGTGAGATTTTACCCCATCGGTACAGAATTCGACTCTGTTGCAAGCATTATTTAAAGTTCTTTGTTTGAATATATATATGTATGTATTGTATGGGGTTACTGATATGAGTTGCATGAATTTCAGTTTTCCATTTCTACTAGTGGATAGAGTGATTGAATACAATCCGGGAGTGTCAGCTGTGGCTATAAAGAATGTGACAATTAACGATAACTTTTTTCCTGGTCATTTCCCTGAGAGACCAATCATGCCTGGTGTCCTCATGGTTGAGGTATATATCTCATTCACTTCTCATTCCATGATTGATAATGGATATATGCTTTAACATTGGTTGGAAGTTTCACTTTTTGAAGTCTATTCATATTGAATGTTAAAAAAAGTAGAGATCCTTCTTCAGATTTTATGTTTGCTTATTTCTAATTTTTAGCGCCACTTATTATGATGTTATATGTTAAATTAACCGCATTTGCAAACGGAAAACTTCAAGTAGTTCATGATTCAGCAAAAGCAATCTTTTATGTGCAGTTTATTCAGAAAATAGGATAAAGTGGCTTCACTATACAAAGCTAGCTAGACAAAGTCATAATATAGTTAATTTCAAGGTGTAGTTTACACAAAATTGATGAAATTTGTCGATCTCTCAGTCTTCAAACTTGAATACTTTTTCACTAGCATTTCAGAAATTTTTACTGAGTGAAAGTAATTATGTTCTTTTTTCACCTTGATTTTTTTCTAATCATGGTGAAAGGTGGACGAAAGATGAAACTAATCCTCAAATTTAAAAGAGAAGTAAAACAGCTAAATGGGGTGCTTGCTATGCCTGTGAATTCACCTAATAAAAATGAAGAAACTGTCACTAATCTTCTTATTATGACCACATTGTCTTATCTAGGGGAATCTCTAGTCATTTCTATTAGATTGGAGTCAAGTGAAATGCTATCTAAGATGTTGACACATATACGTGTTTAAGAGCATTTTATGTTCTTAAGTAGTTTATGGGACCATTTTTGTTGGCTATAATCCTCTAGCCAACGTACAAACTCAATTAACATCGCTTTTGAAAAATAATTAGAAAGATTGCTAGGTTATTTTGGGGGATAATACATAGATACCTCTTTGAACTTGTCCTGAATTTTCAGGTACACACTTAAGATTTGCGGGCAACCCTTGTTCTTGTTCAAATTGTATCTATTACCACCTTGGTTGTTGACAACAGCGAAAGTGCATTCGAGCACGTGAGAAGCCAAAAGCAAGTTAGAAAATACAGCCTCTTTAACTCGTGAGCTGCAATTGACTTAAATTAAAAGTCTCCTCCTCTTAAAATCCTTTCTCCTAAAAATGTAGCCTCTTTAACTCACACTTACTCTCTCTCTTCCTCGTCACTATCCATCTCCACCAACAACTACAACCTCTCCTCCTTTCATCTCTCTTTGACCCAAAACCATCTATTCACTCTTAACTTTCTTTCGTTTCCAAACAACAAGGGTTCTTCAAAATTACCCATCACTCCTGGGTTCAAAATTTTCCATTCCGCAGGTCCACATTCTTCTTTTTTATGACTTTGGTATTTTGGTCAACTTGTGCGCACCTCGACTATTCTATCGGGTGCTAGCTTGCGTACCTCGACTATTCCACTAGGTACCTGCTACCTCCATCAGTGCAGGCAGATGGGGGAAATTATATTTTTCCTTTGCTAGAATTTGGACCTAAGACCTCACGTTCTCCCCTCACTTCATTAACCGCTTGGTCACACCCTTGGGTAGGTCCATATTCATTTTTCTTATTGCATTGTCAGATTTCCCTCTGTTGCAGTATGTCCTCCATGTTGGCTACTCTAACAGCTTCTCTTTTTTCTCTGTTTTCTTACCAAATTCCAGCACAAGTCCTTCAATAGTTTCATATAACATCTCGGGCTTATAGTAACTATTAAGAGCTATGCAGCACAACCCAAAGTTCATAAAGAAGGGAGGGAGGGGGGCTATAGAGAAGCCATGAACACAATCTCCCATGCCATCTAAAGCTTTCTGCTTTGTCCCACACAATAGTACCACAGCCCCTCTTTTTCACTCTCTCTCTTGCTTTACCAAACTCAATTTCCACGGCGAAGGCCCCATTTTCAAACTACAAATAGGCAATATTAAACTATAGGCTTTTGGCTAAATCCAAGGTATCAGCACGATCCACGGTGGTGGTGCTAATACCTCTAAGTACCAATTGTGTGCTCTTGCTTTAAAGGGGCAAAGATGCTATGTTCCTGTCTTCTGATATGGCTTTCTATATCTGAAGAAGGTTAGGCAAATTGCCTAAGAGAAGGTGAGCAATTCCACAACACNCGGATAGAGAGCATAACGAAATGTGAAAAATGAAAAAAATATATTATGTGACAAATCAGGTGGCAGCAACTGCCAGGGTCTTATTTGTTAGTATATGTCACGTGGCTTGTTAGGATGGTAGGACATACAGTTTAAACAAGAACAGCAGGATAATAGGTCTCCCATAAAATTTAAGTGAGTAGTCAGCATTTCGGGACAAGTTGAGTTTATGTATCATATCATCCCTTGTTTCGGGATTTCAAAGTACTGAGACCATGTTGCAGTACGTGATAAAGTGTAGATGATTAGTGCTAGGAGATATATGGTTATTTAATCATATCATAACAGTGAAAAAACAAGCTATAGGTGTAGCGCTATGAGGAATGATATAGAAAGAAGATCAAAACAATTGACCACTGCGCTAATTTATTGCATGAAGAAGATAGCCCAGCTACACTTTTTGCGTGATGGCTAAGTTGTGTTTACATACTCAGTGTTTAACAACAGTCTGCTGTGTTCTTTGTGATTTTGGGCGGTTGAAGCTTTTAGAACCATATTTGTAAACATATGTACGTGTCGAGAACTTAGTAGTTGTATTTATACAAACTCCTTATTTGTAACAATGGCTGCTACACTTCCTGGAAACCTTTAGCAGCAAAGCTTCGTGGGCATGATGTTGTCCCAGATGAGTGTAACAATGTCCAGATATTTTTGGAATTTTAATATTACTATAAGAAGAATTTCTGTAACTATTAAATACTGCAGCTCCTCTTTAGTTCTTCTGGTAGTGGTTAGCATGTACTTTTCTATTGGTTCTTAGGCGCCTGTATGACTGTTAGTTTGGTGAGTAAATAGCGGTTGTGTCAACTCCATATTCCTCGTGATAAATATTACAATCTACTCCTGTCAGGAACCTTCAGCTAGAGCTTCAAGGTCTTAATGTTATCATATCAAAGATAATATGTGATTCTATAAATGTCAATGAGGAATGCACCGATAAAAAAAAAGATATGTGATTCTATTATATTGATATTTTTGTCCTCTGATAAAAAATTCTTTTTATTCACTAATGCAGCTTGAATCCATTGCATTTTGCACCCTTAAAGTGTATCCTTTTTTGTGATTTGCACACTGTCGTTATTTAAACCCTAACCTCTTTATTTCCTTGCAAAACAAGAAAACCACCATTTTTATAAAATTTTCATGAGGGCTAAATAGGAAATAAATAGAGATTAAACAAAAAGACATTGGTCTGGTTTCCAAAGCAAAAGACCAGTCATAGTTATTTTCTCTTTGCTTCATCACCTAAAGCATATCGACAAGCACAAGACCGAAGTAAAAGACCAGTCACAATTATCTTCTCTTTCCTTCATCTCACCTAAAATGGACAAGCTCATTTCCTCCCTTTACTTTGTTCTTTGGTTGCCTCACTTTTGTTGCTGCAAGGTGTTGTTTCGTTATTAGATTCTGATGGGTGTCCATTTATGATTAATTTAGGCAATGGCACAAGTTGGCGGCATAGTTATGCTGCAACCTGAAGTGGGAGGCTCCCGGGAGAATTTCTTTTTTGCTGGAGTAGACAAAGTGAGGTTCAGGAAGCCAGTGGTGGCTGGAGATACTTTGGTAATGAGAATGACACTGATCAAGCTGCAAAAACGTTTTGGAATAGCGAAAATGGAAGGCAAGGCATATGTAGGAGAGGATGTGGTTTGTGAGGGTGAGTTCTTGATGGCTATGGGCAGTTAATGCTCTGCTACTATATTAGTTGTTGGAATTTCTGGCACTTTGATTAGTTTTTCCATCTCTTCCATCCCCGAATCTAATAGATTCCTTTTCATATGAGGCTTTTGGTGTCTTTTCTTTCCAAATTAAACTATAAATTGTATACATTCAGTATTGAATGCCAGTTTTCTGTATCTGAGTGTAGAAAATACTAATCAGAGTAGCCTCGGCCTTATATTCTCATTTTATGTTGTGTTGCGAGGATTTCTACTACAAGAAATATCAATTTTTTTAATTTGTTGGGCTATTTCAAGCATGATTCTCGAATCAAATTCTTCTAGTGACATTCGAATGCTTGAAATTTTTGGAATTCATTTCTCTGTCTGTTCTTACAGTAAATTACATAATCATCCTAGCTGTTACAAAATTCTTAAATCTGAAAATTAAAATAGAGGTTACATAATTATATTGTTATTATTATTATTATTATAAAAGAGTTTGAAACAAATTGAGATGAATGAAGTACTATATGCTTATGATTTAGGAGCCATTCGGGGTCAATTAAGTTGCCGCCACCTTTTTAACAGCAACAATCCAAAACTTCTTGGCAGTTGTCACCAGCACGTTCTGGCATTGGTTGACATTCTAATAAATGGAGCACGTGAAATTAAAATTCCCATGCTTCTTGGTTAGTTCTTGGGGATCCAAAGTACACGCTTGAAAAAGACTTCGAAATTTCATTTTCTAGGTTTATGATGGCGTAGGGCTCAGTTTTGTGCCTTTGTCCGTCTATGGACTGGTTTACTGACTTTACTCGTAGCTTCAAAGACTCGTACACATTATCTTCTCTGGGCTTCGGTGATCATAAATACTCGGATCATATAAATTACACGTAGTTAATCTCTAAATTAGTCCGTAAATGGTGAGGAGTCATGTGAAACTTAGTTCAAAGGAGATACTGTTGGATGCGAGTGAACAAAGTCTCATATAAAAAGTAGAAAAGAAAAATGACCTACTTATAAGGAGTTAGATACTTTTAATAGTGTGAGACTTTTTGAAAAAACTGTACGGACTGTGCCCAAAACTAACAATATCACACCATATTAAAAGTATTTTTAGGTCGTTTGACCCCAACAACTGAAATGCAAAACTGTGGTAAAAATTGCACGGGGCGCCCTATTTGGTCGCCCCCATTTAACCTATACTCATTTTTAAAAAAACTTTTAACTTGTACCCACTTTTTAAATAACTTCAGCCCCCTTTCTCCTCCTCCTCCTCCTCCTCCTTCTTCTTTTTCTTCTGCTGTTGTTGGTGCAGATTATTTAAAAACAAATTATAATTGTTGCGTCAGTAAGATACAAAGTAGCGGTCTGGACCGCTGAACATAGAGATATCGAAAATACATTATCCAGCATTAATAGCAAGTTACAGAGTTTTATTTAACAAACACTATATACAACACTAATTGATTTGTCTAATCTACAAAGATTATTGCCGTTACCCCAAAGATTTTAACAAACTAGCAAGTTGTTTGATGGATGGATCCCCAGCTTATTTGATCAGATCCTATTCTAAAGCTAGCTTCCAAAGAGCTGAAGTTCAACAGTTACAAAATAAAAATTTCAGCTATAGAGCTGAAGTTCGCCAGTTAAAAAAAAACAAAAACTTCAGCTCTAGAGCTGAAGTTCGCGAGTTACAAAACAAAAACTTCAGCTCTAGAGCTGAAGTTCGCGAGTTACAAAACAAAAACTTCAGCTCTAGAGCTGAAGTTCGCCAGTAACAAAAACAAAAACTTCGCCAGTTACAAAACAAAAACTTCAGATCTAGAGCTGAACTTCAGACCCGGCTACTAGAATGCTGAAGTTTTGCGTGATTGCCTTTGCTACTTCAGCCCCGTATGCTGAAGTTATGTGAAAAAGCGGGTACGCTTGCAATTCTTTTTGCAAAGCCGGCACAAGTTAAAACGTGACACAAAAAACGGATATAAATGCAAATGCCCCAAAACTGTGCCATGTGGATCCAAATCAAAAGGCTGTTATTGCTTATTGGGATACCTTCCACTTGCAGCTGACCCATAGAGTAGAACAGAATATCAGAAAGTGATTATATTCTTACTCATCAATCATGATGATTTTGCGGAGAACAAAAATACAAGGATTATATTGAGCCATTTTCATGATGATTGTGGGGATGGACTAGAAAAATATTTAAAAATGTGACTTACTTGAATTTTTATTATGGAATTGCATTCAATATTTATCCTAATTTGCCCTATTAAATTTTGTTGAATAAATACATAGTCTAAAACGTAATGATGAAACTTGAGGGGTCGTATCATGATATAACGGTTAACTAACTTTACTTTGATGAAATGTGAGAAATAAAATGGTTTTAGAAACTGATCATCTCTCAATGGCAACTCACATTATTCTAGCAGAAACATAAAAGAAAAGAATGGCAACTCACTTTAAGTATATTGCGCGAATTATATACTTTCCCGATTCTAATGTTATGATTAAGACTAGTGAATTTACCGCGCGAAAAAAAAAATTATTGAAATTTTTATAAACAATGCATATTTGGCTTTATTCATACGTTAATTAACAACTTCGGTTTAGTTAGATCATATACAGAAAATTAATCTTAAAACTACTAAAGAAACAAATAAATAAAGTATTATTAATCGTATATTTGAAGATCATATTTGTATTAATGACATTCAAACTTTCAGATTGGCAACAAAGAACCATTCGAAAAGAGCAACGTCAACAAAATTGAAAATTTTGGTATTGAAGTCTTGTTCTTGGAGGGTATATACTTAGTNATATATATATTATTTGCTGGTGGATCATTTATTTTATAGTAAAAAAAACCCATGGATATGAAGGAGTAACTTTTATTATATTGCCTAATTCCTAAGCATCAATAATTTAATTACCTCCCTTAATAAGAATTCACCCAACCTATTGGTTAGATTAAAAACTTAAGTCCCTACCATTTATCCTGTTTTTGTAGCACCTTTTGCAGTTGGAATGTTTTTTTAAAATTTATTTTTCAACTCTAAGTTTTCAATGCATTAATAGTAGTAATACAAAATATAACATTGCAAAATGGCAAAATATGATCCTCTGCTTTGCTCTGTAAGTGATTTTCCCTTTCTGTCTTCAAAGATGACTGATGTTTGGTAAAACGTCTACGAATGGCCCTGGTCTTCAAAGTACTTCTTGTAGTTATACACTTTTCTCAGTGTTGTCTTCTGCTTCTGTGAATTAGAGTAAAAAGAAGAGTTTTTCAAATACTTGCTTACTTGGGAGTCGCTTGGTATGAGGGATAAGGTGGGATAAGATGTGGGATTAAATTTATACCGTATTTGATTGGCGGTATAAATTTATCCTGGAATATCCAACCAAACACGGTATAAATTTAATCCCAGACTTAATCCATAATATCCCATCTTATCCCACCTCCCATATGGTATAAATCACAGAACATTCTATAAATGATTGATTAACAAACTATGAAAGGAGTAAAATATACCATTCAGTCAACCAATGATCCTAATGGACTGTATCGGATGGTTTACAAAATATAGACGATATATGACAGATTAGATGCATACCTTATGAAAAATGCTCCAAGGATAGCTAAATGGGGACACCGGGAGAATTAGAATAATAAATTGCCAGTGATATACTTCTTCTCCGAGTTTGTTTTCATTCTCAAGTTTTTTTTTTCCTACGGGTTATTGCCTGGAGATAGAAAACTAAATGTGACTTCAATTTCACATAACATTAACAGATACTGACTCAAATTCACAGAATATTCTACAAATGATTGATTAACAAACTATTAGTGGATTACCATTCAGTCAATCAATGCTCTAGATTGACTATACAGCAAGGTTTACAAAATATAGACGATATATGACAGGTTGGATCAGTGGCGAAGCCACATAGTCATAATGTCATCAATTGACCACCTTTCGCCGAAAAATTACAATGTGTATTTAGGTAAAATATTATGTTTAGAGGTATATAACATATATTGAACCTTTATAAAGAATTTTTTCCACTTCTTTTAAATTTGAATACCCCTGAAAAAATTCCTAGTTTCGCCACTAGGTTGGAGGTATACTAACGAAAAATGATTCAAGAATAGCTAAATGGGGACAACTGGAAAGTTTGTATAATAAATTATTAGTGATAATAATCATGCTATAACTAATTTTTTCACAAACTCATATGGCTAAAAAGAAAAGCACGTAAATTGGAGCTGAAGCATTGTGGTTTTGTATCAATTAAGAATGAAATCTTGATTGGTGAAAAACGAAGAAAAATTTAACTATTTCAATACCTGGAACAATAGAGACTGTTTTCAAAGCCTTAGGCTTGTCTCTGACATCTTAGAACTGAACAAAGTGAAAAGAAAACCCCCGCAAATAAATCAAATCTTCACCAAATAGATTGTAAAAAACTGTAGGAACAATCAAACATAGCATGACGGGTAATATAAAAGATTCAAATACCAATTAGCGCTAATAAAATGAAAAGCTAATCAACCACCACAAAAGTTATGTGGAAAGAATGTTGGAGATAATGAAAACTAAAAAGTCCAATACCCAAACAGAATAAAAAGCAACAGTTAAAAATTTTGTGAAATATTGCAGAAGTTGAATAACAAAAAGACAAAATCTTTAATATTAAAATAGGAAATAAATAATAATAGAGATACATTCATCTTGCAGTTAGAATGCAGAGAAAACAAAATTAAACATGAAAGAGAATAACTATATTCCAAAATTATAACAAAAGGATTTACCTTGAGAATTGAGAGAAACAACTTCTTTGTGGCAATTTTGAAAAGAAAAGTACTAAAAAATAGAGGACGAAGAGCAAGCAAGTACGACAATTAAGAGTGAGAGACTGTTATGAAGGAATTTAAGGAGAAGCCACTATTGGGGTTTTTCCTCTGTAGTAAATTCTATGGTTACAAAAAGACGGAAAGACATGACTGTTTGTTTTTCAAGAGGAAATTATTTTTTCTTTATTAAAAAAGACAAAACTCTAAGACAAAAGATAAATAAAAACCTGAGAGATGTCACGTCATATTTGTATTTCCCAGCTTTATATAATTACTAATGAAATTTTCCGCGCTTCACACGGTCATAAAAAATATCACTAAATAAAAAAAAGAAAAAGAAAAATAACGACATATAACGGATGAGAGAGATAATTTTTTTAATTAATATGGATATAAAAGATAATTCTCTATATTGATAAATTATATACTTAGCATTTTAATTAGAATTAGATTTTAGGTTACTGCATTTTTCCCTGATTTTCTTTTTAAAAGAAAATAAAAGAGAAAGAATTTTTAAGAAAAAAATTTCACTTACATATATTATAATAAATGAGGAGAAAGTGAGAGGTTGATACATGACTTTTTAAGTACAATTATATATTAGAGGCATGTAAATAGATTATTCTTCATTAGATAGTAAAACATCGACTTTGCTAAAATTTCTCATATACAAATAACAAAAATATGAAATAAAAGTAAAGAACTAATAACGAAAAGAAAATAAAACAAAACAAAAGAAATGTGTGGAAATTGCAGTGTATTCTTTTTTCTATTCCTTCTTGTTATACCATTTTTAGCCTTCATCTTTGTCGTTTCTTTTCTATTCATTAGTTTCTCTCTCATATTCTCCATTCCAAGGAGAACATAGTACTTCACTTCAGAATACTTGCTCAATTATTTGTATCCTTTTAGCAAAAACAAAAAGTTTTTTTTTGTTTTACTAATAATAGGCAATTCAAAGAAGAAATCAAAACATAACTTTCAAAAAGAAAGATAATTATTACAATACTTCAAAAGAATCAAAAGTTATAACGTAAACCAAATAATTTAAATTTTGTCGTACATATAATACGTGTTCCAATCATCGAATAAAATAACTACTTTACTTTATAAAAATCAAAAGTAGAAATGAAGTAGAAAATAATTTCTATTTTACAAGAAACAACACATGCCGATGGCTCGACAAAGAAGAACCTGCGCTTGCTCTGTGACTTTTAGCTCTAACACTTTTTACTCGCTAAAAGAAATAAGAAGTGTTATCAAAATATCCAATGAAGAGCGTATCTGAACGTTTAAAATTTATCCCTTTTACACAATGAGCTGTTATTGGTTAGTAGTTAGTAGACTTAAAACAAAGTTTAACTCATAAGTAATTAATTTGAGTCTAAACGAAAATACAAACTTGCGGCAAACAAAAGTTCATAGAAAATAAAGCGAAAGAGAACACATGAGAAAGTAAATAGAGAAGGAAAAGATGCAACTTGAGACCTTAATCTTAAGAAAATAGAAGAAAATAGAAATGCAAAATAAGCATATAATTTTTCGTGTTCTTGTCGACACCCACTCCCGCAATATCGATCATTATTCAAAAGCCTTCTTCCTCAAGCCAAACTAAAACATGAATCGAATGTTATAGTAAATATGACAACACTACTATTTCAGGTAAACAATAGAAAAGATAGTCTTGGGTAGGGGTCTCGTGAAACAAAGTTATGAATTTATATAGGAAATAATAGATGAATACCATAAGGTATTTTAATTTTTAAATTAAATATTTGGCGGTTATGAATATGAAAAGTATGGGAGTTATGGATATTATTAAAAATAGAGGTTAAGGTATTATGTTATGAAAATGAGAGAAATGAAGGGGAAGATTAAAAATATGAGATAAGTTATTATAGACTTACACATTAAATTTTTGGAGGTTATGAATATGAAAGGGATTGGAGTTATTGAGACTATTAAAAGTATAGGTTATGAAGATAAAGAGTTGTGAGTTATGAAAATAATTTTTTTAATTTTATTATAAAATAAATTGAAAAAGTGATGAAAAATCGCAAAAAAAGGAGAAAAAAGATAAATATATTTACTGGCATAAGAGAGGTGCCGCCTCACTTTCTTATTGCCCACTTTTATATAAATATATAGATCTAGATTGTAGTAACAGAGTTTAAAACCAAAATATTATAGAAGCAAAGAAATAACTCAATAAACAAAATAGAAAATAATTTTGAGCTCACAAGTAATTGCTTGTATGTTCTTAAGGAATTTAATTCACTCACAGTTGTCCAAGTATACAGATTAATTCTTTCCATGACAGAACGGAAACTATATTATAAAAGCGACACTTCAATTTACAGAACTTTAGCGAACTCAACAAACGAGCAAATCCCACTTAACATTTATGTTAGTAGGGGTGAGTATCAGTCGGTTCGGTTTGGTTGTGTGTAACGACCCGGCCAGTCGTTTCATGAGTTACCGGTCCGTTTCTCTCGTGTCTTCTTCTTATTGCTTTGTTTATCGGTTCTATATGTGATCGGGTTGGTTGGCTCGGGTTCGGAGAGGTTTTGAGAAGGTTTGAGACACTTAGTCTCTTTTGAGGAAGCTTAAGTTGGAAAAGTCAACCGGATGTTGACTTATGTGTTAAAGGGATCAGATGTGAGTTCCGATGGTTCGGATAGCTTCGGGAGGTGATTTGGGACTTAAGAGCGTGATCAGAATGTGTTTTGGAGGTCCGAAGTAGATTTAGGCTTGAATTGGCGAAATTGGAATTTTGGCGTTTTTCGGTTGACAGGTGAGATTTTCACATAGGGGTCGAAATGAAATTTCGGAAGTTGCAGTAGGTCCGTTGTGTCATTTGGGATGTGTGTGAAAAATTTTAGGTCATTCGGACGGGGTTTGATAGACTTTTTGATCGAAAGCGAAATTTAGAAGATTTTGGAATTCTTAGGCTTGAATTTGATGCGAATTTGGTGTTTTGATGTTTTTTGAGCGTTCTGAAGATTGGAACAAGTTTGAATAATGTTATGGGATATGTTGACATATTTGGTTGAGGTCCCGGGGGTCTCGGGTGAGTTTCGGGTGGTCAATCAGACCATTTCAAGTTGTTGAAAGTTGTAGAAACTGCTCTGTATGTGTCGCAGACTTTTAGCCTTCGCGTTCGCGAGTGGTCCCTTGTGTTCGCGAAGGGTTAGGCTGGGAGGCTGTGAAGTTGGCCTTCACGTTTACAAAGGAGGTCCCGCGATCGCGAAAGGTTGAGGCTCGAGGTCATCGCATTCGCGAGGTTATGCCGCGTTTGCGTAGAGGAAAGTTGAGCAGCTGGGTTCAGGTTGGTTTGTTCTTCGCGTTCGCAGATGGGGAGTCGCGTTTGCGGTGAGTAAGGGAGATAAGTCTTCGCGTTCGCGAGCTGGGAGTCACGATCGTGATGAAGGAAATTTTGGTCAACGTCAGTTTGTGCTTCGCGAACGCGAGGCTTTGACCGCGTTCGCAAAGAAGGATTTGAATGTCTGGGCAGAATATTTAAATAGTCATTGTCCGCGCTTTTGGGGCTAACTTTCACCATTTTTGGGCGATTTTGAGTAAGGCCAAAGGCCTGTATTGTGAGGTATGATTATGAGGCCGAGGACGTGATATTGTACGCCACGGGGTGGCTTGTTGATATGAGGCCGAGAGCCTATTGATTATGCCACGAGATGGATTGATATTGCGCTTGGGCCGTAAGGGGCCTCTCCCAGAGTCTGTATACCCCCAGTGAGCGCGGGTACCCATTGTGATATGAGATATAGCCCGAGGGGCTGGTGTTGTTCCATGATATTGCCCGAGGGGCGGATTCTATTGACATTGTGCCCAAGGGGCGGATTTTATGTGTTTATCTGTTCTAGCTACTTTTCATTTAACTGTTTAACTATTAAAAAGGCGTTTTAAAGAAGCTTCTTCTGAACTAAGGTGTCTTTATATGTTTTCACTGTTTCATTGCTTTTACTGGTTTTATACTGCTTCTTTATAGCATGTTGATGTGGTTTTACGTGATTTCTTATCGCTCAGTCTTCATTTATTATTATTACTCATTGAGTTGGAGTATTCACTTTAGTCCCTGCACCTTGTGTGCAGATTCAAGCATTTTGGATCCCGCTAGCGAGTGTTGATTTCTTCCAGCTCAAGCGGATTTGGAGATTCACTAGGTAGTTGCTCGGCGTTCGCAGCCCAGTGCTTCTCCCCCTATCTTATTTACTCCGTTTTAGTTCTGTAATAGACTATGTAGACTTTTCCTGTCTTTATTCTAATTTGTCTTATTCACCTTTACTTTGGGGTTATTATTATGTTAAAGACTTAATTTGTATTATTTTAACTGCTTAAAATGATTTGGGTATGTGTCGGCTAGACTTGTGTTCACGAGAGGCGCCATCATGACCGGGTCCGGGTTTAGGGTCGTGACAAGTTGGTATCAGAGCCTAGGTTACATAGGTTTCACGAGTCATGAGTAGGTTTAGTAGAGTTTCGCGGATCGGTACGGAGACGTCTGTATTTATCCTCGAGAGGCTGCAGAACTCTTAGGAAAAATTTCATATTCTTGAAACTCTTGTCGTGTGAATCTGTTGATCCTAGTACTAAACTTCTGTTATTCTATTCTCTCACAGATGGTGAGGACACGCGCTATCGGTCAGGATGGATGACCACTAATACCACCAGCTGTGGCCACTAGAGGCCGAGGACGCGATCGTGGTCGCGGTAGGGGTGTGGCCCGCACAGCAGCTAGGGCAGCACCTACAGATCCACCAGCCGTCCTAGTTCAGGATCAGGTCCCAGTTGTGGACGCTCCAGCAGCATCAACCCAGGCACCAGTTGAGCCCATTGTGATTTCGAGTCTTCACGAGGCCTTAGCTCAGATTCTATCAGTATGCACTGGCCTAGCTCAAGCGGTCTTAGTTACTACAGCCGCAACTACTTCTCAAGACGGGGGAGGCACTCAGACTCCCACCGCTCGCATAGCTGAGTAGGTCGTGCAGGGACTTCAGACACCGGGAGCACATCCAGCCCAGTCGGTTGCATCTTCTCAGCACTATGTAGCTCCTGCCATGCCAGAAGACGATTAGCGTAGGT